GACTTCTTTTATAATGGATGGGTGCAATTTTTTGGACTTCAAATTTTGGGCTACCATCCACTCCCATTATAAAGCATGGAATAGCCTGGACATTATTTAATATAACTCCGACTGTATTCGTCTGAAAGAAGAATGTCATATACACCTAGGATGGCTTGAGGGTGAGTAAATCATGGGGTAATTTTAATTTTGGGGTGAACTATCCCTTTAAGAATGGAAAATGTTGCACACATAAATGTAATTTAAAGACACCAAACCATTCATATACCTGTGAATCTGACCATTTTTGTGCAGATAATCGAGACCTTCAAGCACCTCTTTTAGTATGGTGGCAATGCTGGCCTCATCCATGACACCCGATTTGTGCTCCCCTTTGGAAATGATGTACTTAATAAAATCAAGAACTGAGCCTGAAACAGATATGAATCGAAGGATATTGCATTATGTAGCATTTTATTTTCAAAAGATCAATTAATAACTTTTGTTTATTCAAGGCAAGCTTTTAAACTGACTGACCACCACTGAGCAACTTCATGACCAGCCAAAGCTCATCCTTGACCACAAAGGAGGTATAATAAGACACAATATTTGGGTGGTGGCACTGGCTCATTGCCTGGATCTCTTTCTAAAAAATTAAAAATTAAAAAAAGGAGGAAAGAAAATGTTAGGAGGCAGTAAATGTTTAAATATAACAGAGGTTTCTAAAAGGCAATAATGGTAAGTAATTGCAAACAAAAGATCCCATTCAGATCGCTATGAGTGCTTAACCACATCCTTCTAGGTCGAATTACTTTAAGATGCTGCCATTCATGAGTTTTATGCTACAGAACTGAAAGAGAAAAGACCCTAGACATGCAGTGAATAGAAATCTTTAAATACAAATTTACATCAAATGAAATTAATTGAATTAAACCTATTCTACATCATAAAAAGACACATTTTCTGTATAAATGCAAGTGTAGTTAGCTAGTTTGGTCTCATAGGCCATTCTAACTCTGACAGTTTAATCACAAACCAGAAAGCCTTTCCTTGTGTCTGTGCCAGTTTAATCCTCCTGATTGACAGACATGTGGCTGCCTTGCACATGACCCGAGTTACATCATGACCCTGCCATTTGGCAAAAAGGTCATTAACTGAGGTGAATGGGACATGTCAGATGTACATTGCATAAGTTCTAATGAAACTGAAATATTGTCAGATAGTCATTATTTGTGCCTACAGACAATGAAATTGTATTGGTAGATTTAGTTTTCTTGCATGTTTGCAGAATAACTTAAATTATTAAATTACCAAAGGATTCAATGAACCAGTTTTTGTTTAAAGAACATTTGCATAATGCATAATTTATAATTTGAAATATATATTTAATCTCACATGCTGTAACTGCAGAAAAACATGCGGTAAAGATAAATTTTAGTCCGATGCACATTTATTTATAATAAAACAATATAGGCAGCAGAATCATTCATTAGAAAACAAGTTACGCTTCTAAAGAGAGCCAGAAATGTAAACTACCATCCATAAATAACCTGTTTAAGCAGAGACATCTTAATCAAATACCTTTATGTGGTGTGTCTAATTTTATGAGCAGTAAACAGACATTACCAGAAGCTCATCCATGCTGGTCTGGCATTTCTCAAGATTGATGCGTTTAATGGCCACCTTCTCTTTCCTGGGTTTGCAATATGCTGCCTGGACCACAGCTGTTGCTCCACTCCCTATATAGCAGCAAAAAAAAGATCCAAAATGTGTGTGTGTGTTTTTTTTTTTTTAATCACTGATTTTGTAATACAAACAAAAATCTGCATATGAAATAACATACTAAGAATATATTAGAGAAGACAGATGCAGAGAATCGTATATCTACAATCCATAGATGAAATATGTGTGTTTTTAAAGAATTTTTTTTTTTACCTTTTCTCTCTTTTTTTTGTTGTTGATAATTTCGGTTGTAACCGCATACATTTAGCCAGAAGTGTGTATTTTTATTGGAATTTTAATATTTTACCCTTATTTCCTTTTACAAATCTATTTTACACTAGGTACACAAAGTAATTACACACAAAGTAGTTATGATCAGGAATGTTGGTAAAAAAAAATTACTCCGTGAAAGTGGAAAAATACTAATATGTTTTCTCTTATAGATTCAATAAAACTGCTAAAAAAATAATACATCAAAAGCAATGTTGTTGTTAAACACTGACACACCCATTGACAGACTATAATAATAATAATAATAATAATAATAAATCTGCTTAGCATTTAGTATATGGAAAACAATGAATGTCTTGTGTTTTTTCTCATTAAAACACTGTTGTCATTATGTAAACAAACTGTCAATTAAAGTGTTACATGAATTCATTTTTTGTAGTTATGATTAGGACTGATGTTGGAAAAACTCAAAGTGTGGAAATTTTTTTTATATATAATATTTTTATGACTGCTGTTTTTGTCCTCTAAGGGCCTCCGTGTAACGTTTTTTAAAATGACACATAAGGGTTAAAAAATATAATGGAATATTTATTATAT